CCACTATTGGGTATTTGCCCCAGAAATACAAAAACACTAATTCAAAGGAATATATGCACCCCTATATTTATTGAAACATTATTTATAATAGCCAAACTATGGAAGCAACCCAAGGGTCCTTTGATATATGAATGGATAGAGTATGGTATGTATATACAATGGAATATTACTCAGCCAAAAAAGGGAAAATCTCTCCTTTTGCAACAATGTGGATAGAACTAGAGAAGATAATGCTGTGTGAAATAAGTTAGAGAAAGACAAATACCATATTATTTCACTCATGTTTGGAATTTAAGAAACAAAACAAATGAGCAAATGGAGGGAACACAGACAAACCAGGAAAAAGACTCAACTATAGAGAACTGATGGTTACCAGAAGGGAGGTAGGTAGGAGAATGGTGAAATAGATGAAGAAGATTAAAGAGTACACTTATCATGATGGAAAAACTTTAATACAAAGGATCCAAACAAGAAGGGAACTGCTGGGAGGGGCTGGCAAGAGCTATGGTTATGTTTTTCTTCCACCTTGATACCATGGACAGGAGAAAGGTCTGGGTGCCCTAGCTGACCTATCACCCTAGTGAGCCCCAGGATCCTAGCCTACACCAGCCCTCGCCATCCCATCAATGCAGCCTCAGAGCGACATAACCCAGGATGCTCATGGTCAGTACTTACTGCAGTTACAGACATTGCACCAAGGTGACACAGGTGGAAAGCACCCTGGAACACTCTAGGCCTATACCACTTTGGTTCCAGAGGGCTTGCTAGGGCACCTATAGCTGAGAGTGCTTCTGGAACTCCCAGGTCCTACCTGCACTGAGCACCCTGGGACCTTCCTAGTGTGTGCCCCACCTTGGCTCCAGCCACCCACCACATGGCCATCCCCTACCCCACCAGGGCACCCTCTGCATTTAGTACCCCAGGACACCCCAGTTTTCCCTCACTTTACCTTTAGCTGTCCTGCCAGGGTGCCCTGTGCACAGACAGCTTTGGGACTCCCAGCCCACGACAGCTGTAGCTCCAGCCAGCCAAAGTCACCAGGCATACATAGCTTCCAGTTGGGATGACCATACACAAGACCTTTCCTTCAAGTTTAGGAGAATTCTAATTCATATAAGCAAACAACAAATGTTAAGCAAAATGAGACAGAAGAATATGCTCCAAATGGAGATAAGCCATATGTCTGATAGAGTTTAAAGTAATGATCATAAAGATGGACTGGAGGAAAGAGTGGAATAACTCAGTACGAACTTGAACAAAGAGATAGAAAATACCAAAAAGAACCAATCAGAGTTGAATACAATAACTGAAATGAAAAATACACTAGAGGGAATCAACAGATTAATGGATGCAGAAGAACTGATGCAGAAGATAAGGTAATGGAAAGCACCCAAGCTGAACAGCAAAAAGAACTTTAAAAAATGAGGATAGATCAAAGGATGTCTTGGACAATATCAAGTGGACATTCACATTATAGAGATCCCAGAAGGGAAGGAGAGAGGGGAAGAAAATAGACATCCAGATTGAGCAATCACAGAGAATTCCAAACAAGATGAACCCAGAGAGGTCCACATACTTGACACATAATAACTGAAATGTCAAGGGTTAAAGATAGAGAATTATAAAGCAGCAATAGAGAAGCAAAAAGTATATACAAGTGAAACCCCATAAAGCCTCTGCTTATTTTTCAGCAGAAACTTTGAATGTATAATGTCATGCCCTTTGGGCCTGCAAAGAGCTGAAAGGAAAAAATCCTACAAGCAAGAATATTCTATCTGGCAAGGAGAGAGAGAGTTTCCCAAAGAAAAGTTAAAGTAAACCAACCTTAAATGTTAAAGGGGCTACTTTAAGTGGAAAAAAAAAAAAAGGCCCTAATTGCAAGTAGGGAAATTTTATGAATAAAAAGATGTAAAATATAATAACATTTACATGACCTGGGGAGGTGGGAGTAAAAAAATTCTTTTAGAATTTTTTTGAACCTAAGTGGCCACCATTTTAATATAGATTGCTTTATAATTGGGATGTTATATGTAAACCTCATGGGAACCACAAACTAAAAATTTATAAGAGATATACACAGAAAATAAAGAGAAAAGAAGCCAAGCATAACACAACAGAAAGTCACCAATCGCAAGGGAAAAGAGCAAGAGAGGAAATGAACAGAGAACTACAAAAGCAACCAGAAAACAGTTTAACAAAATGACAATAAGTACATACCTATCAATCATTACTTCAAATGTGAATGGTCTAAATGCTCCAATTAAAAGACATTAGATGACTGAATGGATAAAAAAATGAGACCCATTTATATGCTGTCTACAAGAGACTCACTTCAGAGCTGAAGACACACATAGGATGAATGTGAAAGAATGGAAAAAGACATTCCATGTAAAAGGGACAAAAAACAAAACAAACTGGGGTAGCAATACTCATATCAGATAAAATAGATTTTAAAACAAAGACTATAACAAGAGACAAAGAAGGGCCCATGTAATGATAGAAGGATCATCCAATGAAAGTATAGCAATTATAAATACACACTCAACATTGGAGACCTAAATACAATAAAGCAAATAATAACAGATATAAAGAGAGAAATTGAGAGTAATATAATAATAGTAGGGGACTTTAGCACCCCACTTATATCAATGGATGGATCATTCAGGCAAAAAATTAATAAGGAAACAGTAGCTTTGCATTCAAGACCAGAGGGACTTTTATATTCAACATTCTATCCAGAAGAATGTATATTCTTTTCAAGTGGACATGGAATATTCTCCAGGATAGTTTACATGTTAGGCCATAAAACACGTGTCAAAAAATTTCAGAAGATTGAAATCATGCATCTTTTCTGACCATAAGGGCATAAAACTATAAATCACAAGAAGAAACTGGAAGAAACACAAACACAGAGACAAAACAACATGCTACTAAACAACCAGTGAGTCAACAAAGAAATCAAGAGGAATTTTTAAAAAATACATGGAGACAAATGAAAATGAGAGCACAACAGTCCAAAATCTTTGAGATGCAGTAAAAGCAATTTAAGAGGGAAATTTATAGTCATGCAGGCCTACCTCAAGAAACCAGAAAAATCTAAAGGAACCTAACCTTACGCCTATAGAAGCAAGAAAAAGAACAAAGCCCAAATCTAGTAGAAGGAAGGAAATAAATCAGAGCAGAAATAGATCAAATAGAGGCTTAAACAAACGATGGAAAAGGTCAATGAAACCAAGAGCTGGTTCTTGAAAAGATAAGTATCTTGAACAAACCTTAGTGTTTTTGTCTTTTCTCTTACTGAAAAGTACAATGAGATTGTTTCCAATTTTTGCTTTAACAAGTAATACCACACTTCTTGTGCTACTCATTCACATGTTTGAAAGTTTCTTTAGGACCATAGTTTTCAACCTGGGTCAGTTATGCCTTCCAGGGAACATTTGGTAATGTTTGGAGACATTTTTGATTATAAAGACTGAGAGGAGGTATGCTACTGGAAACTAGTGGGTAGAGACTAGAGATACTGCTAAAACATCCTACCTACAATGCAAGAACAGACTTCCATTCACCCCACTACAAAGTATTGTCCAAATTATCCAATTTGTTAATTCTGTGAGGGTTGAGAAACACTGTTCTGGGGCATATACTTAAAGGTGGGATTGATAAAGCTTGGGGTATGTGCAAGTTTTTTTTCAGTTACATGAAATAGAGTTGTGTAAAACATGAAGAAAATATTTTCAATACAGGTTAAGTTTTGGAGTGTATTGAATTGAAGTTTCTGTGGTGATGATGGCATTCCAGCAATTATAATCAATTTAATTATCTTAAACCAGATAGAGTTAGTGGCATTATATAGAGTTAACTAATTTATCTACTAACCCAGAAGGTGCATATAATCTTTTAACTTCATGAACTAAAATACTTTGTTACTTACTGTCTGATTAAAAGATTATGGAGTGAGAGTCTGCTTTAAAAAAGTATCATTTGTGCAAGACAATAGTAGCTGGACTATTTAGGCTGAAGATGCTAATTGAATGAGAGAAAAATTAGAGCATGAAAAATGTAGAATTTTTTCCTGACAAAGATTATTATTAAATACAGAGAAGTTAAAGGTTTGAAAGCTTTCTCTCTAGTTTGATTTAAATTCTTTTTTAATGTTTATTTTTGAGAGAGAGAGAGGGAGAGAGACAGAGTGTGAGCGGGGGGGGGGGGGGGGGGCGGCGGGCGTTGCAGAGAGGGAGACAGAATCTGAAGCAGCCTCCAGGCTCCTAGCTGTCAGCACAGAGCCCAACGCAGGGCTCGAACTCACCAACCGTGAGATCATGACCCAAGCAGAAGATGGACACTCAGCCGGCTGAGCCACCCAGGTACCCCTACCTCTAGTGTGATTTAAATTAATATTTTGGGACGCCTGGGTAGTTCAGTAGGTTCAGCATCTGACTATTGATTTTGTCTCAGGTCATAATCTCATGGTTCGTGAGTTTGAGCCTTGCACCAGGCTCCACATTGATGGTGCTGGAGACTGCATGGGATTCTCTCTCCCTCTTCCTCTCTGTCACTACCCCCTCTCAAAAATAAATAAACATTTTTAAATTTAAGTCTATAAGACCCACCTTTGAAAATTTGATAGTCCCAGATTTGAAAGCTATAACTCTGAAAAACTATAGCCCAAGAACTATCTGCAATGCTTGTGTGCATACAATTTAGTATCTGACTTTTGGGTGGTTTATGCATGTTCTTGAAGTCTATCTGCGGGCCACTCCCAGTCCCCAGATTTCCAGGTTAAGAACTTTGCTAAAAATCTATGAAAACTCTTAAAGTGCTAAAAATAAGATACATTTGAAATTATCACTGAGTAGTAAAGACACATCTATATTGTTTGCATCTTCAGTGATGGAGAAAAATAGGTGACTTGGAATTAGAATTTTTCAAGTCCTCTAATATTGAAGGAGTGAATATGTATCTTAACTTTATAACCTTCATTTTTCTTTGTCTTCTGTTAGGTGTATGCAGGAGTGCTATGGCAACAAACTAATGAAAACAGACAAAATTCAACAGAAAGAGTGTGTTTTGGAGTTGCCCTACCAGAAGAAAAACTTAATGACTTTCGTGATGAACAGATTGGACAGTTGCAGGAGCTGATGCAAGAAGCTACTAAACCTAACAGACAATTTAGTATTCCTGAATCTAGGAAACCAGAATTTTAGTCTATACAATAAAGCTTACACATTTTAAGTTCAGAACCCCTTACTGGGTTTCTAAAAATGTATTTCTTCAGCTTTTAGGTTTTGTGAATGCCTGGTGTTCATGAAATATTCTTTAATTTGGGGTTGTTATTAATGTTGTCTACAATATGTAGATCAATATGGCTAGTAAAGCTTTATATGATTGAAGTAACAGTACTTGCTGGATGGGATTTGATTTTTTAAGTACATAAGAAGGAATGACTTGAAAATGGACAAAGTTGTGGAATTTTGCCAAATTTACATACAATTTTACAATTTGTATGTAAATTTAATGCTGTTCTTGTTCAAGCATTAGCCTCATGGCTTTAGCTTCAACAGACAAGTATGTTATGATAATGACAGATGTGGAGTTCCAACAAGGTTATTATTTACATACATGGATTGTCATCCTGAAAGTTCCTTCCTTTCTCTTTTAATAATACATGTATGATTATTCATGTAAATATGCCTTCTCCCTGAGTCACTATTTATATACAATGAAAGATTAAAAAGAAGCTTAAAGAGTCAGTATTATACACTGTATAATCTATCATGCAAATGATAGTATAATGTTTGTACAGTGTTTGGTAGTAACAAATGACCCCTTAAATTATGTAATTTATAGTTACCTTGAGAATCTCATTTGTTGCCTCATCATTGGGGAGATAAAAACACTTTCATAAATTTGTCGTAAGTTATAAACTGAAATAATCAAGTGGTAATCCCATTCATGTGTTTAAAATGTTTAATTTTTTAAAAATTACACACTTGTGGGGCACCTGGGTGGGTCAGTCAGTTAAGTGTCCAACTTCGGCTCAGGTTATGATCTCACGGTTCATGGGTTCGGGCCCTGTGTCACACTCTGTGCTGACAGCTCGGAGCCTGGATTGTGTCTCCCTCTTTCTCTGTCCCCCCACCCCTTGCTCACACTCTATCTCTGTCTCTCATAAATAAGTGTTTAAAAAAGTAAATAAAAATTACACACTTATAACTTTAGTTTTGTATGTCTACTTTGAGATTCTGAAATCATTTTTCAGATGCTATTGCATTTATTCAACTACTTAAAAATTGACTCATACTTACTCTCTTTTGCTGGATTGGGCTTTTTCTTTGTGTATGGCTGCCAGACTCCTCAGTCCTTTTTAATATTCCTCATTGAATCAGTCTGGAGGTTGATACTTGTCTTTTTTCATTGAAAGATAGGTGGTCAATCAGTAATGAATCTAGGTTCTACATTATAGGCTCTAGGAATACAAGAAATGAATAAGATAAAAGCTCTTGCCCTCCAGGAGTTTAAAATCTAGCTGTGCATTTAGGAACCATTTCATCATGAACAAATATATCACATCCTCAAACTCTTTCAATCTTTTTTGTCTTCCTAGCTTATAGAATCTAACACCCATAAGGACACTGCTTCTCTGTGTTTTGTGAAGTGGGGATTATGGGTGTTAGATTTTGTGAAGTGGGGGTTATGGGTCATTTTACATTCACTGTAATGTATAATCCCCTCCTAATGTCTCTTTCAACCCATCACTGGGTTACCCTCACATAAGAATTCTTTTTCATTTGTAGTGTTTTCTTTCTGGTTATACTTCCCTGTTCATTTTCTTTAGCAACTGGCTCATATTTTTCCATCTCAAGTTTTGCTATCATTTTGGTGACCTTAACACTATAATCCATATGGCTGACATATCTAGTACCTAATTGGTGTCCGATGGTTCATTATTCACCACCCATAAAAAATTTTGGGGAAATCATAGCCATATTTATTGGCCATCACACAAATTACTACCTTGAGGTATTTCACAGTTTTACTACTATATTGCAACATTCTTTTGGGTGACATATATTTGAGAAGCTGTGCTTTTAGTGATTGCTGTGGTAAAAGTATCACAAACTAGTAAAATGCTCAATATGATTACAAAGTTTGCTAAATTTTTAGGGCATAAAACCCAAGTTGTTTGGACTATGTAATAAATGAAACTGCAGTGTTTTTTGTTTGCTTCTGTTAGTTTTTGCTGTATGTATGCTGTGTAAATACTAAAACACTAAGAGTGTGTAAATTGAGAAAGTCTGGGAAGTGGTGCAAAAAGCAGTGTTAACTGTGAACTCATTAGTGTTTTGACCATTCAGTTTGTTCAATGTTCTTTTACTTCCTTCATTTCTATCTCAGTCTGACCTCGTTTCTGTGATCTTTCACTTCCTTCAACCATTTAGCAGTACCCTCAATGTCATTGTCTCCTTTTTCTTTAACCTCATCTGCTCTCACCAATGTAACCACTCACTTGCTAAAATCAATAGGATACTAATCAGTACAAGACGGATGTGTTATCCTGAGTCTTGATAGTGTTAACTATTCCCTACTGCTTTTAAATCACTCCTGCTTGGATGACATGATGATACTGTATATAGAAAACACTAAAGACTCCACCAAGAAACTACTAGAGCTGATAAGTAAATTCAGTAAAGTTGCAGAGTATAAAATCAATGTACAGAAATCTGTTGCATTTCTATATTCTAATAATGAAGCAGTAGAAAGAGAAATTAAGCAATCCCTATCAAAATAACACCAGCATTTTTCACAGAGCTAGAACAAACAATCCTAAAATTTGTATGGAGCCAGAAAAGACCCTGAACAGCCAAAGCAATCTTGAAAAAGAAATCCAAAGCTGGAGGCATCACAATCCCAAACTTCAAGCTGTGTTGCGAAGCTGTAATCATCAAGAAAGCATGGTACTGGCACAAAAATAGATCAATGGAACAGAATAGAGAACCCAGAAATGGAACCACAAAGGTATAGCCAACTCATCTTTGACAAAGCGGGAAAGAATATCCAGTGGAATAAAGACAGTCTCTTCAGCAAATGGTGCTGGGAAAACTGGACAGTGACATGCAGAAAAATGAACCTGGACTACTTTCTTACACCATATGCAGAAATAAACTTAAAATGGATGAAAGACCTAAACATAAGACAGGAAACCACCAAACTCCTAGAGGAGAAAGCAGGCAAAAGCCTCTTTGACCTCAGCCACAGCAACTTCTTACTCAATACGTCTCCAGAGGCAAGGGAAACAAAAGCAAAAATGAACTATTAGAACCTCATCAAAATAAAAGTCTGCTGCACAGCAAAGGAAACAATCAGCAAAACTAAAAGGCAACCGACAGAATGGGAGAAGATATGTGCAAATGACATATCAGGTAAAGGGTTAGTATTCAAAATCTATAAAGAACTTACCAAATTCAACATCCAAAAAACAAATAATCCAGTGAACAAATAGGCAAAAGACATGAATAGATACTTCTCCAAAGAAGACATCCAGATGGCCAACCAACACTTGAAAAAATGCTCAAGATCACTCACTCATTATCAGGGAAATACAAATCAAAACCACATTGAGATACTACCTCACACCTGTCAGAATGGCTAACATGAACAACTCAGGCAACAACAGATGTTGGCAAGGATGCAGAGAAAGAGGATCTCTTTTGCACTGCTGGTGGTAATGCAAACTGGTGCAGCCACTCTGGGAAAAAGGATGGAGGTTCCTCAAAAAATTAAAAATAAAACTATCTTACGACCCAGCAATTGCACTACTAGGTATTTATCCAAGGGATACAGGTGTGCTATTTTGAAGGGGCATATTCACCCCAATGTTTATAGCTGCACTATTGATAATAGCCAAAGTATGGAAAGGGCACAAATGTCCATCAACAGATGAATGGATAAAGAATATGTGGTGTGTGTGTGTGTACACAAGTATTACTTGGCAACCAAAAAGGATGAAATCTTGCCATTTGCCAGTGGATGGCACTTTGTGGATGGAACTAGAGGGTATTCTAAGTGAAATTAAAGACAAGTATCATATGACTTCACTCATGAGGAATTTAAGCTACAAAACAGATGAACATAAGGAAAGAGAAGCAAAAATAATCTAAAAACAGGGAGGCGGACAAAACATAAGAGACTCTTAAGTATAGAGAACAGAGGGTTCCTGGAAGGGTTGTGGGGGGGGGGGGGATGGGCTGAATGGGTAAGGGGCATTAAGGAATCTACTCCTGAAATTATTGTTGCACTATATGCTAACTTGGATGTAAATTTAAAAAATAAATTATTAAAAAAATAAAGCAATCCCACTTACAGCTACACCAAAAATGATAAAATACTTAGGAATAAACCTAAACAAAGAGGTGACAGACGTGTACTCTGAAAACTATAAAATACTGATAAAAGAAATTGAAGATGACACAAAGACATGCAAAGACACTCCATGCTTGGAGGAATATTGTTAAAATGTTCATACTACTCAAAGCAAGCTATAGATTGAATGCAATCTCTGTCAAAATATGAACAGCGTTTTTTGTAGAACTAAAAATATCCTAAAATTGGTATGGTAAACATAGAAGACCCTGAATAGTCAAAGCAATCTTGAAAAACAAAACTATAGGTATCACAATTCTAGAATTCAAGTTGTATTATGTAATTACACAATCAAAACAGTATGGTACTGGCACAAAAATAGACACAGATCAATGGAACAGAAAACCCAGAAAAAAACCCATGATCATATGGTCAGTTAATATATAACAAAGGAGTAAAGAATATGCAGTGGAAAAAAGATAATCTCTTCAACAAATGGTGGGGAGAAACTACAGCTACATGCAAAAGACAGACAGGTATGTGAAACTGGACCACTTTCTTACTCCATACACAACAATAAACAAAGTGGATTGAAGACCTAAGTGTAAGACCTGAAACCATAAAAATCCTTAAGGAGAGCACAGGCAGTAATTTCTCTGGCATTGGCTATAGCAACATTTTCCTAGATGTGACTCTTGAGGTAAGGGAAGCAAAGGCAAAAATAAACAATTGAGACTACCTTTAACAAAAAAAAAAAACCTTCTGCACAGTGAAGGAAATAACAAAACTAAAAAGCAACCTACTGAATGGGAGAAGATATTTGCAAATGACATCTGATAAAGAGCTAGTATCTAAAATCTATAAAGAACTGATAAAACTCAACACCCCCACAATGAATAATCCAATTATAAAATGGACAGAAGACATGAACAGACATTCCTTCAAAGATGACATCCAGATGGCCAACAGACACATGAAAAGATGGTTAACATCACTCGTCATCAGGAAAATCAGAACTACAATGAGATATGATCCTCACACCTGTCAGAATGACTAAAATAAAAAATGCAAAAACCAACAAGTATTGGCAAGGATGTGGAGTAAAAGGAATGTTCTTGCACTGTTGGTGGGAATGCAAAGTAGTCCAGCCACTGTGGAAAACAGTATGGAGTTTCCTCAAAAAGTTAAAAATAGAACTATCCTACGATACAGTAATCCCACTACTGAGTATCCCCCCACCCCAATACAAAAACACTAATTCAAAGGGATACATGTACCCCTATGTTTATTGCAGCACTGTTTACAACAGCCAAAGTGGAAGCAGCCAAAGTGCCTATTGATAGATGAATGGATAAAGACGATGTGGTTGTTAATACACACACAGGAATATTACTCAGCCATAAAAAGGAATGAAATCTTGCCTCTTGCAACAACATAGATGGAGCTAGAGAGTGATGAGGGAGCATAAGACAAGCTGGCAGGTTACAGCTCCCCCCACCCCCCACCAGGTGGGATATATGTGATATTC